TTTTGAGTAAAGGTTTAACTACAGCCAGCTTGAAGGCCTGTGGTACATAGCCGATCATTAGAGATAGGTTGATCATATTTAAGATCGAAGCATTAATTAACGGCAGGATCTTCTAGATATTTCAGCCAGTTCTGCTCCAGCCATATGGGTAAAGATAATATAATACCCCATTTTAGCATTCAAGGTCATAGATCAAAGGTCAGATATCAGTGTGCTGTAAACATGTTATCATGTTTGGATGACACTGGCCGCCCACAGAGTACAGCTCACAAACACTGCGTGCTGCCCCTCTGCAGGACTCCAGGATGTGGCCAGTCAGAGCGCTGTAAGAGGACCAAAGGTAAACCAGCATGCTAACACTGTGACATCAGGTACCTGATGAGCTGCTGCTGATGTTGCAGCTGTCTGAGCCTCTGCTGCTTCAGCTTCTCTTCTGTCTCCTCCTCCAGCAAACACACTGTGGACCAACAACAGGAAGAACTGCTTTTAGATTCAAAGGAAATGATTTGCATGGGCACACCTGCAGGATGATGTGAGGAAATAAAGAGGTTTTTGTGCTTGGGTCCACATGCCTCTGTTTCCTCCTAATGGTCATTAAACGTCACTCACACTTTCCACTCCGGAGCTCCACGTCGCCATCTGCTGGCCGCAGCCATCTGTCGCACAGGAACACCTGTGTTTCTGAGTCTGACCCCTGACCTTTAGACAGCCTGCAGACCTCCACTCTGCTGCAGTGCCAGTCCAGGTTTGGAAATCTGGTCTGAACCTCGAGCCGGAGCCGAACCAGAATCAGGCGACCCAGAGGACTGCTGGCCTGAACCCGGACTGGACACACCTGTGAGCATGACAGGAAGACACCGTCAAAATAAAACTCCAAGTACTGACCATAAACCACGCCCTTCAGTACTCCCAGTGAACGCTACAAATGAATGAATCTCAAAACTCACCGATCCTGGCAGGAGATGACTGTTGCCGTCGGTCACACGGATGGGCGGAGTCTCGCCCTCAGAGCCAATCAGGCTAAGCCACAGGTGGCTAAAGGTTCCACAGGTGGGGCCAGGTGAGGTGTGAACGGTCACTTCAAACTCCTGACAGGAAGCCATTATGTTGGGCACGATGGGCACAAAGTTGGACGGCGCCACCTGGTGGCCAGAGTGCAGGTTTGTGAGCCTTTCACCCGCGAATTAATATTTAAGACATGTTGTGACCTGTTTCAGGAGAAACTGATGGAGGAGGTTAAGCTGTTTAAGCCGAATCACCTGACAGACACAAAGACACTTCACCTCTGGCTGGAGGGATGATCAGAGCCTCACGTGGTGAAACGGCCGTTTCAAGAGTCTTTACTGAGGTTTCACCTGAAGCTCACACTTCCTGTTTTATTTGTGAAGATGAGAATCGCCACCATAACTGTCAGTGTCACTATCATCTCAGGACCATCAGAGCTGCGTTAAGGTTGAGAAAGGCTACAGCAAGGCCCTTAAAGACGTTACACTTTGATTATTTTGTTGGAAAGTTTCTTATTTTCTCTCCATGTTTGCTGTCTTTGTTTTGCACCATGACACAGAGAAAAACTCGCTACATCTCTGTGAAACTCATAGTGAAACTGCGTTGCTTTCAACTTTCATTTATCTCAGAAACAAAAACGACTCTTACAAACACATTTCAGTCTTTGTGCTGTGCAGGACTCCCGCTGATGCTGACATCAGCTTATTTGTTTACCTTGCTCACATTTGCCTTGGAAATGAAGAGCAGTTAGCGTGGGCTTCCAGCTAACACACTGGCTTCTCCTGACAGATCCACAAGCAGTAACACTGCTCTCTTTCTTGTTAAAGGTCACGTTGTCAGCCTGACGAGGAAGCTTCCTGCTCCGTGCTTACAATCGGCACAGAAATCAGCCATAAAAACACCGGCTGCTGATTTTCCTGTTTCCTCCTATTTTATCATGTTAGAGATGAACCTACGAGTTACATTATCTACAGCGGCTCTGACCCGAGGGTACGTTTAAAAAACCAAATCATTTGTTTATTGGGTAGCAGGCCTCGTTTCCTAGAAATAATCCGTAATGAAGAAGTCAGCGCAAAAATCCACTCAATATAAACTCTGCACTTATTTAGTCTTCACTCAATCCTCGTATTCGTTGGACTTTTGATTTTAATTGAACATAAAACAAAAAATAAAAACGTGAAATGACAAATTTAATTAAAAAGGAAATGTGATCATATTATATTGAATGCCATTTAACTGCTACATGAGAGGAAGAAATATATTACTGTCCTGAATTTTAAATAACAAAAACTCAACTGACATTGAGTAAAACAATTAGACAAAATAAAATAAAATGTATATTTTTAAATAAAAGAAATGAAAATAAAACTTATAAAATATCAGATTTAGATTCAAATTAAAGTTGGAGCGACTGTTTTTTTAATGTCAGATTTGTATGAATGAGTGAAGCAAATGAATCAAATTTTGGTACAGAAAGACGGTCAGGTCAGCTTCAACTGGTGGGCCAGATTAAAGGAAAAAAATTTGCCCTCTTCACCCAAGAGGTGGTGGTGGTTTGGGGGGGGGGGGTCTCTCTGCTGCAGTGGGAATTTTGCTCCCACAAAATGAACAAAACAAAAGTGTTTGTTTACCTGTCAGAAGATTCTGGTTTCTGGTAATGTTCTGGAAGATTTCTGCATGAAAAACAGGAACATAAAAGAAACTATTAGGGAACAAGCAAAACAGAGTATACACCTGAAGGCCGTTAAAGGGATGGAGACAAACACCGGAGGCAGGTGTGTTAAGAAAAACTAAAGTATGTGAATAAAAAGCTGACTGGCTGAGAGAAACACACAGGTAAACATACCTGCAGAGTGAGCCTCCTCTGCTCCGGCTGGGCTGCCCAGGAGTTGCTTCTCTCCCAGGGTCTCTCTCTCACCCGAGCTCTCTGTTTAGTGCTCCGCCCATCAAGTCAACGGCACAACGGTTAAAACACAACCTGAATAACAGGTACTGCTTTCCCGCGTTGTTTCCTTTGTAAACTGATTAATTTAAACATTTTAACAAGCATATAACATATCAACTTATGGATGAATACTGAGAAAAATAAAAGTGTTACCACATATTAACAACAATAATTACAACATTTTTACGATTGCATTCATTTCTTCTATTCTATCTAAAATTGATACTTTACAAAAGAAACAAATACCCTAAATCAAGTGACGCATTTAAATAAACAAGATTTACATAAACGTGTAAATAACATTATATACTAAATTTAAAATGAAGTGTGTAAATATATGTCTTGCTATCGTTTGTTCATGTATCATTTCAAATATTAACATAAATATGAACAACGGCTGCATGTGGGGTTCTATAGTGTAGCGGTTATCACGTCTGCTTTACACGCAGAAGGTCCTGGGTTCGAGCCCCAGTGGAACCACTCACTTTTCATTATTGTTTTTGCTTTTAGGTTATCAATGTGACTGTTGATCAAAACAACTGTACGACAAGAAGATTAAATGCTACATATTCTAATACCTGCCGGACTACATGCCGGTTAACGTCATCACACAAAACGAAAGGATATGAAGCATAACATCCGGTTTGGACAGATAACCTTCAAAATAAAAGCGAAGACTATAAATCGTATTTTTCTAACGTAGCACAAAGGAAAGGATTCAGATTTGTAAAAATCGAAACCAATGTTTTTTTATTGTTTATAGTTTGTTTATTTATTGTTTAATATTCGTAAAACAAATATAAGGTTGACATCAATAAAGACATGAAAACCAGAAGAGCCAGTTCACCTGTAATCTGTCGCACGCTGTGGCAAGTATTTCGACAGTGAGATGAGAAAGAAACGATTAAAACCTAAAACAAACATGGAGATGCCGGGGATTGAACCCGGGACCTCATACATGCGAAGCATGCGCTCTACCACTGAGCTACATCCCCACACGTGTGATCACATAGGACAGACAGGAGTATTTACTGGTAACGGAGGTCGGTGTCCTTAAATTTTCCTCGGTTATGTTAAACATCTGAAGCTTTCCTTACAATAACTATTCTAAACGTTTAAACGGTGAAAACACACTCAAAGAGCTCTAAATACACGCATGTGACGACAGCGAAATATGAAACGTTGCGGAAAACCTGATAACATGATGACGAAAAACAGGCCTAATAATTCACTTTAAACCCTCCTGATATCCTCGGTAAGGCGCGTGAAAGGTTCATGTCACCTGGCTGATACATTCTCCAGCAGTTCACGTGTGATGTTTTCGCTGATACCGGATAAGTATGATTGGGAAGTACACAAGTGACGTGAGCTGCGATGGCCGAGTGGTTAAGGCGTTGGACTTGAAATCCAATGGGGTCTCCCCGCGCAGGTTCGAACCCTGCTCGCAGCGGCATTCTCTCTTTTTTTCCTTGAGAGGCATATTGTTAACTTCACCTCACGCGTTAAAGTTAACTCTAACTGATACGTTAAGGTTAACTCACTATTTCTCCAGTGAAGTTCTAGCCAGTACCGACTAGTTTTCGTACATACGAAAACTAGTGAACAAGAGCATCCATACAAAACCTGCTACATAAGTGCTTTATATATAAACACCTATGTATATATGGAGGGCCAGGAGTGACAAAACGAATTAATTACATGCACCATTTAATAATTAATTAAACGTTTCAAAGTCATCAAAGTCATTTCAAAGTACACCAGACTCATCTGTGTGATGATGATGCTTCTTCTTTTAAACTCCTTATTTGCTGTAGCCACACATGAGGGCCACTTATTCTTCAGCTGAAGGCGGCTGCTACAGCAACAACACGTTCCACAGAGAGCACATGCTAGCAAGAGAGCTAGTGTAGCACAGAAGCAGCAAAGAGCAAAGGCTCGTCAGTTTGGAGTTATTTCACACCTGTTACACCGACAGCTTTTCTTTGAAGGACCTTTTCTTCTTTATTTTCTTCTCCCAGCAGTCAGAGCAGTTGGGGCAGGTCTTCCATCGTCCTTGTATTTTTCCATCTCTCTGTACTGGAACTATAAGCACAGGATGGTTTCAATCTACCAACTGTTAGATTGTGGGAGAGGAACACTTCAGCTGCAGATCTCTGTGACTAGAACTGGGTATTTCTCTCTTTGAGTTATTTGGATGGATGCAGCCTTGGCCAGGTGGAGCAATAACCCAACCCTGTCTGCTCTCATCTGCTACGTTCCTCAGTTTGATTAATATTAAGCTGTTGACTCTTTGAGTGTTCTGATGAATGGTTTGCCAGGAAAGCGACTTATTGAACAGAAGAACTTCTTGTAAGCAGAACCTAAACCTCCATGGGGACTTTTAGAGGACGAGCATCACAGCTCACAGCTTCGACCTTTGGGTATTGGTCAGATGTCACTTTCCTTCAGTCTGATCTTCTTTATGTTTCCTGCTGCTTGTCTGATGGAGAAGAACAGCATGAACGTGTAACTGAGGTCCAGACAGCAACAGAGAAGCTGAGTGTGCGTTTATGTAAGTGTGACGACCACAGACAGGATGATTTTCACCTAATACCACCAAACCGAGGTGAAGCTGTGATTCCTCTGGGATAAGGAGCCTTCATGGTGTTGTGAACATGTTGTCTACTCCTGCTGTAAGGACAGAACTCCTCCCTTTTGGCAGGCAGCTGTGATGAAATTCATGAAATTGTAAGGTGAAGCCTCGGTTCAGGTGAGGTCAGGTTTGGGAGATAATGTTCAGCCTGCTCTCAGCATCACGAGGCCTGCTGGCAGAGGTCAGGTATCTCACAGCTCCACACGTATGCTCAGAGTTCGACCCTGCCAGGCTGCCAGGAAGCTGCTACATCCCCATCACGTGATTTGTCCACGCCTCCAGCGTTAACCTTCATGCAGCCTGTGTCACAGACTTGAGGCAGAGGCTCTAATGAAAGACGCCGTGCTGGATCTTCGGGGTTTGAACTCTTAGACTGGAGTCTAAATATGAGAATACATCCAGCCCTGCTGCGACATGAAGACATTGTTGTTAGGATATGACATTTGTTTTTTATATGTTTATTAGCAGCTTTTCTGTAAAATCCTTTATTTTAAACTGAAAGTAACTGCCAGGTGTAACTGTAACAAACGCTTTCACCACCAGGGGGCAGGGTTTCCTAAAAAGCGTCAGTGTGGCTGCCTCCTCAGTAAGGAGAAAATGCAGACGAGGGCCGAGACGAGGTCGGTGCAGCGGTCAGCTGAGCCTTTCTGTGAGCTGACTGGTTAATTACTGCTCCTAAACTGGCTGAATGTGTGGCTGTGATGGTGGATGGTGTGTCTGAGCTGGGAAACACTCCAGTCCTGGGACCTCACACAGTGTTTGCAAACCTGAGGCTGCTGTTAGCTCACATGAGCCCTGTCACACTTAATTAGACACTAACAGCAAAGAAAGGAAGTTGTTTTTACTTAAACCTTTTTTGTTTCTCTGAGCTCGTGTCTGTCCACCGCATCAAATCCATCCATCTCTGTACGGGAGGGCTGTGACTCTCGGACTGCTCTGACCTTTGTCTTTATGCTGGACGTGACTAACAGACTCTCTGGTGTCTCAGTCAGGGCTCCAGATTTTTGAGGACTTGTTCTCAGAGCCCTTTGATTGATATTTATGACAAACCATTTTCAGCTGTGTGCTTGTCTGCTCTTGCTTTGCTGTCGGGGCCTGGGAAGTTACGGTCTTTGTTCTGCCTGTCCTGGAAGTTTGCACTACATTTAGAAACGGAGCTCACGGTAGCAGCTCCATCCTCCTGGAATCATCTGAAACTGACTCTCACTGCATCAAATCAATTTTATTTATACAGCAGCAAATCATAACGGCAGTCTCCTCAAGGCGCTTTATATTGTAAGGTCGACCCCACAATAATGCATAGAGATAAAAACCCAACAATCATATGACCCCTTATGAGCAGCACTTTGGCGACAGTGGGAAGGAAAAACTCCCTTTTAACAGGAAGAAACCTCCAGCAGAACCAGGCTCAGGGAGGGGCGGGGCCATCTGCTGTGATTGGTTGGGGTGAGAGAAGGAAGACAGGATAAAGACATGCTGTGGAAGAGAGACAGAGGTTAATAACAGATATGATTCAATGCAGAGAGGTCTGTAACACATAGTGAGTGAAAGGAAGAAAACTCAATGCATCATGGGAATCCCCGGCAGCCTACGTCTATTGCAGCATAACTAAGGGAGGATTCAGGGTCACCTGGTCCAGCCCTAACTATATGCTTTAGCAAAAAGGAAAGTTTTAAGCCTAATCTTAAAAGTAGAGATAGTGTCTGTCTCCTGAATCCAAACTGGAAGCTGGTTCCACAGAAGAGGGGCCTGAAAACTGAAGGCTCTGCCTCCCATTGTCACGGTCGGGCGGATCACACACAGTAATTCGGCGTGCCCGTGTGGCGTGCTGGCTAGACCCAAGCGCGGCGAAGGCTAGCGGTGGGTTTGGAGCAGACACGCAGTTATTCTAGTAATGATCAGTGCACGAAGCGTGGCTTCGGAACTGTCGTTACAGACAGAGAGCGAGTGGAGCCGGGAAGAGAAAAAGGATTGAAAGGGATAATCACTCACGGTTGCTGAATCAGGCGGAGACTGACGTCGGCAGAGTTTCGGAGCTCCTGACACGAAGAGAATGATGTCTGAGCGGCGAACAGGTGGGTGGCGTCTCTCTTTTAACCCTGGCCCCGTGATCAGCTGATCACAGCCGATCACCGGCTGACCCTCCCATTCTACTTTTAAATACTCTAGGAACAACAAGTAGGCCTGCAGAGCGAGAGCGAAGTGCTCTAATAGGGTGATATGGTACTACAAGGTCATTAAGATAAGATGGGGCCTGATTATTTAAGACCTTGTATGTGAGGAGCAGGATTTTGAATTCAATTCTGGATTTAACAGGAAGCCAAAACAGGAGAAATCTGCTCTCTCTTTCTAGTCCCTGTCAGGACTCTTGCTGCAGCATTTTGGATCAGCTGAAGGCTTTTCAGTGAGTTTTTTGGACATCCTGATAATAATGAATTACAGTCGTCCAGCCTGGAAGTAATAAATGCATGAACTAGTTTTTCAGCGTCACTCTGAGACAGGATATTTCTAACTTTAGAGATGTTGCACAAATGGAAGAAAGCAGTCTTACATATTTGTTTAATATGTGCATTGAAGGACATGTCCTGGTCAAAAATGACTCCAAGGTTCCTCACAGTGTTACTGGAGGCCAAGGTAATGCCATCCAGAGGAAGAATCTGCTTAGA